TAATTCATATGCAAATTAGAGTCTGATCTTATTAGCCACATCAACTAAAGAACAGACGACTACGAAGCAGATCAGGTAACTCAGAATAGAGGTGGATTGAGAGAAAGCAAATGGTGGGCAGCTTAAGCTGGGGTCTCTGATTCGATTTGGGAAATGGGTGCATCAAATATTCTAATGAGAAAACCGTTAGCATAGAAAAGCCATATAAGATGCACTTTGCAGCTGCTCGGGTTGGGTATAAATAGGTGCACATGTTGCAACCAAGTCATATTACTCAAGTGATCATGGAGCGTAGAGTGTCTATACTCTGGATAGGTGAGTGGCAGGACCTTCTTTCAGGTTGATCTCGACTGAACGCCTGATCATTTTCGCTTTGCAGTGCTTTTCTCGTTGCTGGGCAGCGCATTCCCCTTCCAGGAGAAGTCGCCGCTGGCGCAGTCGCAGTCGCAGCAGGTGCAGGTGCAGCAAGTGCAGCAACAGGGCCTCACTGGCAGTGGCAGCGGCAATGTCGAGGACTCCGTCGGAACCACACGCAACATCGACGACAGTATGTTAAAATCGATCGGTAAGGCTGGCTTCAAACACTTTGTGGGCTCCAGCTCGAAGACTGCAGCCAAACCGACAGTACAACACCAACACCATTATTATTATAATTCAGAGCATCCTCGCCAGAGCGTCCTGCCAGGTTATCCTTGGGGCGGTTATCCTCAAGTGCCGCAACCGCAACCGCCGCGCCCCTGGGTGCCGCCGTACAGTCAATGGCCCTATGGCTGGGGTCACTGGGGCGGTGGTGGCGGCTATCCTGGCAATCCTGGCAATCCTGGCTTTCCTGGCACTCCCGGTTATCCTGGCCTACCTGGTCCCGGTTATCCCGGCCTACCTGGTCCCGGTTATCCCGGCTATCCCGGCTATCCCTATCCCGGATATCCACGCTATCCTGGCTATCCCAACTATCCCGGTTATCCTGCCTACCCTGGTTACCCTGGGTATCCATGGTATCGCAACGCGGAAAACGAAGAACTCGATGAATCCCAAGTGCAGCCAGAAGTCGTATCCCGCTCCATACCCGCTAGCTACCAGGCACGTGTCTTGGCCTCCACGAGCAAGTCCAATAACAACGTCTTGCCTCTCTACCAGCTGCTCAATCTGGCTCACGTTTAACACTTGACTAAGAATTGAAACATCTCACGAATAAAAGAACAATTTTGAATCATTCAAACTGCTATTTCAGTCAACAATCTCCGCGCTATAGAAGATCGTCAGACAAACACATAAACGAGAGTATGCAAATTCTTACGATCCTCAAAAAAAGCAAACTTCGAGTGTTGCAATCGCGAGAAATAAGTATGATAGCATAACATATCCAGCCGGTATATTGTGAGCAAGTCGCGTCAATGGCCCCACTTGGCGATCGTTGAATCGCTTCGCTCTTAATGATCGTTCACTTCTCAAGTCTTGGAACGCCTTCATTCGATGCGATGAATATATGAACAAAAAGCAAACAAAAAACTTGGCACACAATCCCGACTTGCTGACTCATAATACTGTCCACTGACGCACAGCAATTTTTTGGACCAGCAGCAGCGACAGCAGTAACAGCAGCAGCAACAATTGATTTTTTAAACATATTTTGCAAGCGATTTGGTGACTGATGTTAAACGCAATTTCAAATGCAAAAAAAAAGCTGTTTAAGAAATGAAGCGAACAGCCATTTCGCATTTACCTCTTATTTTTATGGCCCACAAAAAAACGTAAAGAAAAAACCAGACTTTTTTTGTCTGTACGCGATTTGCAGTATTTCTTTACTGCTGATTTTTCTGGTAGTTCCACGAAAAGGCCTTAGTTGACACTTTGCTGGAACCGATTCGGTAATCTTAAACACGTTCTCTTTCGACCGATCGCCGTTTCGACAATGGATCGCAACTTCTTCAGTTTAAGGTGTCGAAAAAAATATAAAATATGGCTGGGAAAAGCTTCGCAGTCTGCCGTACGTGGTATTAATTGCCGGGGCAATCACAATTTATGATAACTGTTTGGGTTTTCCCCTACAAATTTCAGTTTACCTGAAGTTCTATAAGCTTTTCCTCGCTGAGAAAGACTTTCGAGAGTATTAGCCTTATATTTATTGTTCTTTTTTTTTCATATTTTTCAATATCATTTTACTCTCTGAGATGTATTTTCAACTAAAGTCAATTTTTTCTTAAATTTATTATCTCAAACTCAGATCTCACTTTCAGTTTCCATAAAGTCATCAAACAGATAGGATGACGAGTGAAGTAAGACATGTTTCTATTGCAAATGTGTTTTGTGTTTATGTTTAGAGGGTATAACATATGTCGCGCTGACCTCGATCACGAACACGTTCGTACCGTATATGGTTGGCAAAGCTTAGGGCCTGACTCATTATATGGACACACAGGCCACATGCAATATCTTATCGGATATGTTTGTTCGGTGCGAATAAAAGGAAACCCAAAGCCATAAAATGCAATTTCTCAAGTGCGCGGATTAAGCAAAGAATGGCAGAACTCTGCAAAAAACGCGCTCAGTTGTTAGAGAAGAATCAGCTAGAAGCATTGAATGAAACTTTTCAAGTGCCTCAGCAGTGTGTATAACATGATGCATTGAAGTTAGTTGAATGGGAAATATCTAAAGAGATGAAGGGTGTTCTAATATCATTTAACAGGGCGTGCCAGGCGCACCCTGTATAAATAAAAGATCTCAAAGTGACTTTTTTTTATTAATTCTGCACTTAAAAAACATTTGTAATTTCTATTTTAAAAACCCCCTCTACAATTGCTAAGACACCCTGTTTAAATCGCAGTCATTTCCACGTTATCAACAAACTTTTTAGTCAATAGATAACGTTGCTCCGATAAATAAACGCTTAACTTACTTTTTGGTCATAAAACAAAAACATTTGACAATTCGGAACACAAATCAACATCTGATAAATCGAAAAAGCCAACTTGCCACACACACACACCAACACACTCACACACACACACACATGACAAAGCTCGTTAATTATTAACGTCTCCTTGTGGCATTATCGCAATTAACCAAACTAAAATGCGTGCAATTCTTTTCGTTTATTTTTCTTTGGTTGTTGGTTTATTTCGCTTTTCTTATTTGTTATAGACCTCGCTCATTGTTCTGACTTCTATGCAAGAGAATTACATCATTGCCATTAGATGAACTGGCCCAAAACTTGGCTTGGCTTCTGTGTGCTTCGCTTGCTGACATTGAACGTAACGCTCCATGGAGCTACAGGGGAGTCTATTATATACACAACTGTATTTGGCAAAAAAAGAGGAAACAACAAAGTCATTGGAAAATACGTAGCCAACTAGACGATCGTAGTTAAGTGAAGCTAAGCTGCTTAACGTCTTATTGAATTGAAATGAAAAATGGGTCAAATCAATAGACGCCATTGAAACTGAAATTGAAATGAAATCTGATACAATTTTATATATGGGACAGTGATAATAAGAAGAGGGCGGGGCACATGAATAAACGTAATAACATTCACATGCACGTTAGACTTAAGAAAAAAAAAACTGTGGGTTTGGTGTCGATTTAGCTGGAAATACATGACTTGCATAGACACACACGTATATATATATATATAAACGTACATATGCATGTAAATGTATATCAAAGTTGACCTGCTTTTGTTTGTATTTGTTCCTGCTGTAAAAACTAAGCAAACAGTATTCAACTAAGCTGCAAGAGCATAGGAGGAAGAGGATAGACAAAGAAGGAGAGCGAAAGAGAAGAAGCGAACGTGCTTGGGTGTGTGTATGTGTGGGCTAAAGGAAGTGTCCAGGAAGCGAAACACTCGCGTAAAAGCAAACGGTAAATTGCTTGCGCCTGCGAGGTTAAACTGATGAAGCAACCACCAACAAGCACGACGAAGAGCTGCCAGCACATGGTCGTAAATGCCGCTTTATTAGACGCATATAAACATAAACCAGATTTGTGCTTGTTGTCGTTGGTGTCCAAGTTCAAATTGTGCAAAAGGAAAGAAAGTCTCGCAAACACACAGACAAATGGCCAGATCGCGACCTGGGCAAACCGGCAGAACCGCTTTTTGACTCGATCAATTTTTTTATTTTTTTTTTGTCTGTTTGGTGTCTTCTTCACAGCTTGCAGCACATTTGTTACATTGAGGATAAGCCAACGTCAGTTGAATATGCAAAAACTGCAGCTCTGATTAGTTTGATGCGGCACTCAATCATTGAATGAGGCCCGCACATCCGTAATGGCCAATTAACTGTGCCAGACGCTGTCGATAAGAAGTTAGCGACTCAATAAATAAATGTAGGCACGTTCAATAAATGAAAGCAAGTACATAATTTCACTCACTGTCCGGCGGAGTTGTTGTTTGAATTTCTTTTTCGATCGGTTACCGTTAGCTTGACCCGCCGCTGTCAGCAACAGCAACAGCAGCAGCAACGACTGCGCAGCGTTCCAAAAAAATTATAAAACAATCGAGTAGACACTTGTTGCTTCTATAGCCGCAACACTTGTTATATCTTTTTATTTAGCTTTGGCACACGTTTAGAATTTCAAATGACATAGCCAAAAAACGTTCTTGAATAATTTATACCTTATTAGCAGTAAAGCCCGGGTACGGCAAGCGCACCTTGCAAAAGTTAAAGCCTAACTAAACTGACTGTTCGTTTGCCGCCACATTTCGCATAGCCAATAACAACTGCGTTGAGCAATAGTGATGTGCTGTTTTTAAATCTTATCGGTTATCGCCTATCGACTTAGAAATTTTATTGGAGGCGGCAACTCCGACAATTAAAGTGATCAAATCAACGAACTTGACTGATATGGCACCATGACTATACGCGTTCAATTTAAATGTGAATTTTTGAGCTTTAAAATAAATTAATATTGTTTGTTTTTAATCTTAATTCACCAAATTTATTTGTAACAATATGCTAAAATCTTTTTATAAAGCTAAACAACACAATAATATTTCAGATGATTAGATCTCTGAAAACTGGTGTTTTATATGGTTTCCTACCGTTTTTGTTTTACTTATAATTCAAGGCAAATGCTAAATGTGTTTTAGAAAATACGAAAAAATGTCTGCACTCAATAACGCTATGATAAAATTATTAGATCAGACTAAACCCCTGAGTTTGTTGTATAGCTTGTTGCAGCTTATACTTGAGTCGTTCCTTGGTCTTATATCGTGGGAGATCCAGCAAATTGAAACATGTGTGTGCTACGGGCAAGAAGCGTTCATCAGGTGTGGGCTGTATGACAATCTAACCGATAAGATTATAAAGAAACTGTTATAGTCAATCATCAGTGGGTTTCCAGTCAGTTTACCTTGATGGCTTTCATGCCCTGTATGGGAATACGATCGCTGCCTGTCAAATAGAGCAGAAACATTTTCTTTTCTGCATCGGACAGTTCGTGAAAAACTTCCCAAAACCATTTCACCTAAAAATAAGAAAACTGCATTAATGTCACTATATTTTCTTCGAGCATCAAATTACCGTTTCATCGCCGGACGCATAGCCCTCCTTGTACTCGCAATTGTCCTCTAGTACCTGCCAATCATATTCTTCATTTCCCACTACAACAGCCATCAGTTCTTCAGGCTGAAAGATTTGCAGTACACGGCCTGAACAAACTTTCATAAAACCCTCATGAAAGGCACGATAGTGAAGATCCACGGATTTGTTGAATACAAAATCAACATAGAGATTTACAAACTCTTGCCTGAAAAACTAACATGATTAGCAAAGAAAAAAATAAAGTATATGGAATGCAGCAAAACCTGTTTTCCATTGTGACAGCAATGCTGCTGCCATTAGGTTTGAGATCCTGGGTCTCGGCTTCGCCGTAAATATCGCGCGATATCTCAAAGGTCAAATCGAAGGTTTCCTTAAAGTCATCTCCTGTATAGTCTAGTATCGCTTGCATGGAATTGGCTTCCGTTGGTGACATTTCGCGTAAATCGCTAAGATCAACCGGTTTCTTTAGCAGCTTCTTATATAGCGCCAACGGAAAAGGCAGATTGATTATCGTAAAATTGTAAATGGCCAGCCCACATAGCACACCGATGAGGAAATACATGTTCTCTGTCTCGAAGGTCACATCTGCGAACCACATGACGCGCGAGTCCTCAAACTCTTTGAACATGCCATACTTGGGATCGATCAAATCCTTGAGCAACAGCATAAAAAATTCTTTTCGCACACCGCCCGCATCTTCGGCTTCCTCACCGTGAAATTTGATTTTCAGTGGCTTCTTGAGATCACTTTGGCTATACCGTTCTAGCTCACGCAAAGAATCCTGCACCAGATTCTCTCGCGTCACATTCAAAACAATGTACTGCGAGACGTGTCCATAATTGAGTAGATTGTAAAATGCCTGAAAGAGAATGCTGTGTGAATAAATTGAATATACATTTATCAGTGAGCTGCCCACATTTGATATTGCGTTCGACATCGCTGAATGCATTTGGAGCGCTTGGTCTGCTTGCAGCAGCGAGGTTTTTGCGGATGCATCGAACAGGAATGGATAGTTGCAAATGTTAAATTCAGTTGACGACTCGGATATAATCCAGCGCAAGTATTCCTGCTGCACGTCCACATAGTCCGTAATTTCTGGCCAGTGGAAAAGCTGGAAGTTGAGTCGCGAGTCGCGATTGTCGTTCACACGACAAAGTTTTGCCAAAAAGTCTAGGACAGCTTCCAGATCGCTGCTGTAGGGCAACAGCTAAGATACATATTAGGCTTTGATTAGCAAGTAACTGAAGAGTATTGGGAAAAAGTTTCATACGAGTACCTTCTTTTGACGCGTTTCATTGTGATTGATCACCTCGATGCCCATCTTGAAACTGATGATATGCACCGTCACATGCAAAAAATTATTGACCATTTGCTCGAAATAATCAGACGGCGTCTGAGCCCACCATTTTTCTAACACTTTGCGTGGATTCTCAGTCAGCTTGAAAATGGCATTGGCGAATGGTACGTGCAGTATTTTGTAGTGCTTCGAATTTACAAATTCGTGATACAAGGGCAACAATAAATAGACCCGCATACTCTCCACATCAGCCGGCGAGGCAACCAGCGAACCCAGAAGCTCCTTCGACAAGTTATCCCAAATCTTAAATAAAATCAGATTATTTAGCTATGCATGGAAAACAGCTTTACACTGATCATACATACCACCTGCTTGATACCTTGATTCTCCACCTTGCGTAGATTGTCGAAGGCTGCCTGGGCAGCTAATAAATCCAGGCCATAATTGCGAACGGAGCAACTAAAGTGCTTGTCTTGATCTAGCAGAAAAGAACCATTAAGGCAGGCCTGGCTCTTAAATATTAGCTCCATGGAGTTTAATAAATCCAAATCGCTTTGATCGCCTTCTTTTATGCGTGCGCATTTTTTGGTGGCATCTGCAGTCAACACAAGAATCTGTGAATTCGGTTTATAGACGCGGCAGTCGGTTGGCGGAATTTTGTCCGCGAACATAGAGGTGGTCACTATTGATTGATCGCCACCGGAGAAGATTTGATGTATGACAGCAGCTATCTTCGCATCGGTGGACTCCAGCAGAGTCGAACCACTTGGCGATACCCAAGGCCCTATGACCATCTGTGGTAGATTAAGGCTTTTGGTGTTTCGCGTGCCTAGCTGCCCGGAGCTGCCTAGCCCGAATCCATAGATGCGGCCTCTCGACGGCACCAGTGCCAGAGTGTGTCGATTGCCACAAGCCACCTGCGAAATGGTGCTGCCCATCAGTTCCATAACCATGCGAGGTATCATCTCATTGGAGCTGAATCCATGACCTAATTGCCCATAGGCACCAGCGCCACAGGTAAACACGCCGCCCTCAATGGTAAGAAACACAGAAAACTCATCCCCGCAGGCCACAAAGCGAACGCCAAGTGTCCGCAGAGTTTTCAGCTGTGTGGGATACGCACGATTCGTTTCATCATTCAGGCCCAGCTGTCCACAATTGTTGCGACCCCAACCGAACACGGCACTAGACTTGGATATAAGAAAAGAGTGATTACCGCCACAGGCAATGGCTGACACAGGTATGCCCAGTAGCGTGGTCAGTCTCATGGGATAGTTGCACTGTTGGAGCTCAGAAGGTGAATTGACACCGAGCTGGCCATAGATATTGGAGCCCCATGAATACAGCTCACCACCTTCAATGGAAGACGCATAGATTGAGCGGAATCCGTTAAGATCGGAAGTACTTACAGCAAGTCAGGGCTAGACTGTGATTGCTGCCACAGGCAATTTGAACAACCGTCTTGGACACCAAATATCTTACTATTTTAGGCAGTTGTATAACATCTTGGTCGCTGGCATGACCCAGCTGGCCGCATTCATTATCTCCCCAGCTAAGGACTTGGCCCCATTCGGAGAGCGCCATCGAGTGGCGACTACCGCAGGCAATCTGTGTAATCACATAGTCCTGCAGCTCCGGTATCTGTACTGCAAGTAAATGGCCATAAGAGCGATAAATGGCAACAGCTATCAGGCTGACACATAGAGCGACATGTGGAAGTTGTGATGGGAATGAGGTGTGACAAGTGTACCAACGAGAATGGAAGATTTGTACATACGAAATGGCGACATACGTGGCCTTTTGGTGGGTAGCTCATGTCCCAGTTGTGAGTAATCATTGCTACCGCATGCATACACCTTCCCGCTGGCAGTTAGAAAGAGTGTGTGCCGATGTCCGCAAGCTACTTGGTCAACAGCCGAATCTGGCTTCCAGGGTATTCGGCTGGGCGACAATATCTATAGAGCAAAGTCAAATTAAAGTGGGCGTCTATATTTATATGGGTACGCCTTTTACCTGTTCTTCTTCGATGCCGCCAAGCCCCAGCTGGCCGTGCGATGCATTGCCCCAGCAATATAATTCCATATTGCCGATCCCCTGACCCTGCCTTCCACTTGTGGCTTTCGTTGCGTTGTTATTGTGGATGGCAAATTGTTTCAATAAGCAGCACGACTTTTGCTTCCTTCTTTGTATTCGCTCTTTACAAGTGCGCTACGGTGCCAAAGAATATTCGAGAAAGCTCCAGTGTTGTGGAAACATTCTCTGCGGCCGTCCAATTTTATCTATTTGATTGGCTTTGCTGTTCCTCCACACGCACACAGATGCATTTGTGACGCGAAACTGGGACTTTTAATTATTGGACTTCGTGAGCCCTGATCTGTAAGTTTAAATTCGGCTTGATTTTTTTAAAATAGCGCATTGAGTGTGCTTCGAACCGGAATTAGGCTTAAAATTTCGACAGAAATTTCTGTACTATAAAAAAATAACAAATTATAACAAATCAAAACCGCAACAACAACAAAAGAAACCAATAAATAAAGACAACTCTGCCAACTTATTGCGAAGCTTTAAGCACACTCATGCAAAATAAAATTTAAATGTTATCGATACACACGCGCAGGCTTCATTTATGATTATGTGCTTCATATTAACAATTTTCAACAAGTGAAGTATAGTGTTTGTTTCATTTCTATAGTTACACATTACGCTACGCTAAATTGTGCAAAATTGTATTAGTGTGGAGTCAAACCTTTTTATTCTTGAACTGTTTAACTAGTCACATACGTGTGCATATACATATATATATATCGGAGAGTGGACATGCCTATTTTCCATAATAGCGAATTACACCGGCAACTGAGTCTGATGTCTGAACTCTGCCCTTTTGCGCAATTAGACTTGGAATAAAAGCTTAACACGAATCTCAGACATTAATTCGGTGTTCATAATACTGGATAAAGCGCGCAATTGAAAATTCAAAACTTCGTAACGGCTGTTTGGGCGATCTAGCGCCAAAACCCAAACCGGTTACTTTAAATTGGTCAGCTTAAAAATTCGAGTTGGAAGTGAGAAAGTGAAAACTCATTGATTTTCATTGAATTTCTGCCACGCTAACACACAATGCAGGAAGCGTACGTGAATATCAATAACATACCCACACACATCATAACGTGGGGTAAGTGGATTGAGGAGTCTTTAAATGACGTTAAGGAGGTAGTTGTTTGCATAACGGGCAATCCGGGACTGCCAGGGTTCTACACAGAATTCGGTGGTGCGCTGCAGCAAGAGTTGGGCCTAGATGGTCACAATTTGCCAGTCTGGGTGATAGGTAAGTGGTTGGCTATGAGCTGCAAACACAGTTGCTAAATATAATTTATTGATTTTGGACTTTAGGTCACGCTGGACATGATGATCCTCCAGAGGCGAGCATTCGGGAGGTACCGCAGCTCAGTGGCAATGCTGAGCTATTTAATCTCAAAGGACAAATTGATCACAAGATAGACTTTATAAAGAGGTATGTGCCTCGACATGTGAAAATACATCTGATTGGGCATTCGATTGGAGCCTGGATGATACTGCAGCTGCTCAAAGAACCGGAGATACGGAATCGCATCAAGAAGTCCTATTTGTTGTTCCCCACCGTAGAACGTATGATGGAATCGCCCAATGGCTGGGTATTCACCAAAGTGGCTATGCCCCTTTATTCTGTGTTTGGCTACGTCTTTTTTAACTCGTTCAATTGGCTGCCCGCTTGGATACGCATCTTTTTGATACAAATCTACTTTTGGATATTTGCCATACCCAATCATTTCGTTGGAACGGCTCTGAAGTACACCAAGCCTTCAGTGGCGGAGAAAGTGGTGTTTCTGGCCGATGACGAAATGGCTCGTGTTAGTGTTTTGCAACGTGACATAATCGAAGAGAATTTGCATCTGCTAAAATTCTACTACGGCACCACCGACGGCTGGGTTCCGGTCAAATACTACAATCAACTCAAGTTGGTTTTCCCTCAAGTGGACGCACAGCTGGACAACATGAATATCGCCCATGCATTCGTTCTACGTCATTCCAAGCCCATGGCTAACATTGTCAGTAATATGATAAAACAGCATCTGCAATAGGGCTAACTTCTAGGGGGCCTTCTAGCCAATTGTTGCCTAATCTTAATATTATATGCGAATATTTGCAAACTCTCTTTCTTTACGTAGTGATTTTAGAGTCCTTATGGTAATAGGTACAATTTTATATGTATATCAAAGTCTATGACACAATAAAGACAAGGTTTTGTACGAGTATAAGAGAGATCTTGTTTAGTTGTAGCACAATTTTTATTTTGCGTCCTAGTTATAATCAAGAATTACGTTTAAGATACGAGCTTTGATGATTTACTCAATGTGGAGGTGAAGTTGCATGTGTATTTTACAATCAATTGCTGGCCGCTGATCCGGAACGAGATCGGGAGCGGCTGCGTGAAGGCGATCGGGAACCGCTACCAGCACGAGAACGAGAGCGCGATTTTGACTTGGAGTGAGAGCGTGAACGTGAAGGAGAACGTGAGCCGGATGGAGACTTTGATTTAGATTTGGATTTTGATCGACTGCCTGAGCGGGAACGCGAACGATTTGCAGACTTCGAACGCGAACGCGAAACAGATTTTGAGTGCGAACGTGATCGTGACCGTGAGCGTGAACGGGAAGGTGATCGTGATTTGTCCGATTCCCCGCCAGACTCAATGCGATTCTTGGCCCGCTTGCGCTGTGCAACGCCATCGCTCTCGCTGCCACTGCGACTCCTGTTGCGCTTCTGTCCACGATCGCTGCCACTACCGCTACCAGAGCGGCTGCCGCTGCGACTGCGAGTGCCGCTCTTGCGGCTTCTGCTGCGGCTGTGATCGCTGCCGCTACCAGTGCCACTGCCCGACCGGCTGCCACTGCGACTGCCTGATTTGCTACGGCTGCGGTTTCTGCTCCTACTGCGACTGCGCTTGCCATCGCTCTCTGATTCGCTAGTCGATATTGTCTCCTTAGAGACAATTTTGAGACGCTGTTTGGCAGACAGTTTCTCCTTGACATCCTTGGCGTTCTTCTGCTGCAGTTTCTTCTTCTTCTGCTTTTTGTCGCCGCGACCGCCACCACCAGCAGATTCCTCCTCGCTATCGCTTTCATACTTTTCAGTTTTGCGCTTGCGTCCGCTGCCCTTCTTGCGCTCACCCTTGCTCCTTTTCTTGTTGGTCCGGTCTTCGCGTTGCACACCATCCCCGCTGTCCGTGCCTGAGATGTAATCATCCTTGCGCGGTCGGCCGCTGCCCTTCTTGCGCTCCTTTTCGGGAGGTGCGTCGGCAATGATGAGCAAATTCTTGGTCTTTTCCACGTACTCTTGTCGTTTGGCCAACAGCTGATCGCGCGATGTTTTAGCCTCCTCTTCGCGTCGCTTGCGCTGCTCCAGTATCTTCAACTTGAAGGCTTCTCGTTCCTCCTCTTGGCGGCGTCGCAATGTACGATCCTCTTCATCAATGCGACGTGCGCGTCCCACATGATATTGCGCCTGTGACAGCAGATCTTGACATGTGTTGGCCTCAACGCCGGCTACCTCTATATTGAAGCGTGTCTTGTCTCCATGCACGGACAAGTATTGGAAGTATCTAATTGGGAAAAGATATGTTACAGGTATAAAGATTGATAGAGTTTAAAGCAATTTACTTGTGCGCCAGTTCCAGTTCATGCACCGCTTGCAGAACCACCTCTAGCGTGGACTTTTCATCCTTGAGTATGGCCATGGCCAGTCGGGATAGCACTACAGCTATATTAAACAGCAATACAGTGTCCTGGGGTGCCACACGACGAGCCTTCAGCAGCACAGCCTTGGCCTCCACCAGCTTATTGGCACGGAGATAGGCGCGTGCGAGGTACTGCATCACTTCGACATTGTTGTGTTTGTAGAACTTCTTCATACAATTCTCGTACATCTGTATGGCGCTAATATATTGCTTCTGTTCGACGTAGACATGGGCAATGTTTAGCCACACATCACAAAAGTCAGCGGTGGCCTCGCGCACCTGAGCAAAAATGTCGCGCGCCTCGATGACGCAACCCTTGTGGGCGAGTACGGCCCCAATGCCATTGGTAGCCCAAATGTTGCGAGGATCCGTACGCAGCACCTGATTAAAAATGCTTTCATATTAACCGAAAACAAATTGCTTTAATACCACCACGTTTACCTGCTTGAATATAGCCAGCGCCTTCTCCTGATGCTTGCGTTCTTTTTCCTTGTCGCGACTTGGCTGATGCAATGTCTGCAGCGAGAAGTTTCCCAGAGCAATCAGGGAGTAGGCATCTGAAGCTGTTGCCGGATTCTTGAGTATAGTCTCAAAATTCTTTTGACCCAAAGCGAATTGCATTTTCGCTAAATGCAAATTGCCAAGCAGCGACCTAGCATCTGGGTTATCGTTGTTAATATTAAGTGCATCTTTGAAGAAATCCGATGCGACAAAGATAAGGCCTTTATCACGCGCCATGCAGCCCAGCCGCAGATAGCAATCAATATAGTTGGGATGCTCCTTGAGTATCTCCTTGTACAGCTTATCGGCTACATCGAAGCTGCTCATCGCCTCGTTCAAGCGGGCCAGATTATATTTCATGGTGACCTGTATGGACTCGTAGTATTTGACATCCTTGTCCATCTCGGAGCTAGCATGCTGCAGCGCGGACTCCAGCGTGTCCTTGGCTAATTTCAGATTTCCCAGACGATAATGCAGTGAGGCGACATTATTCTGTATTTCTGCCGGAATCTCATATTTGGCTTTGTCACGCAAAATACTGGAGGCAGTACCATAGGCATTCAATGAGGCCTGCAAATCATTTTGCTCTAATATCTGCGCCAACTCTATCCACGCTTCAATGTCCTCTGGAAACTGTTCGGTAACCTTCTTCAAGTGTGTCTTGGCCATATCACGCTTGGTCTGCGAATTGGAGTGCGCATACAGTGAGCCGAGGATTTTCATGGTCTCGTAGTTACCCGGCTGAATCTTCAGCACTTTCTCAAAGCATTGCGCTGCCTGTAAATAGATTTATAATTTCATGACATGTATATTTAATGAGTGATTAGTTGCGCATTTACGTTTTCTGTATCTCCGCGATAGATATACATCTGACCAAGTCCGTAGTGCGGAAGCACAAAGTTAGCTGGCGCAATCTGCGTGGATTGATAGTAGTATTGGAAGGCCTGGTCATAATCGCTTTGGGCATGGAAGCTCCTGGCTAGCTGATAGCAGCTCTCGGCTCGCATCGCTTCATTTTCGGTATTATGGAAGGCGTGCAAAGCCAAATGATGAACCTTTTGGTAGTCTTTCTTGAAAAAGAAATGATTGGCCAAATGATTCAGAACCATTGGATTGGCATTGTCGATGGTGTAAGCCTTGGAGAGCATTTGCACGCCCAGCTTATTGGACTCCGGCTCCAGTTGATTGAGCTTGAGCACAGCCAGGCCAATCAGAGCGCCTACGCATTGCTGGTCCAGTTGCAGGGCTCGCTCAAAGGCTAATTTGGCTTTTTCGGCATTGCCCATCTTGAGGAAGCAGTGCGCCATGCCAATTCGCACGTTTGCCGGACAATTGGGATTCGTGCGCAATGCCTTCTTGTAGAATGCCATGGCACCGCGATAGTCCTTGCGATTGAATGCAATGCAAGCCTTACCCAGAAGAGATGGTATATTTGAAGGCGATTGATTAAGCACGAAGTTAAATTGCGCATCAGCCTGATCCATTTTATCACCCTCGAGCAGACAGAAGTAGGCACGTCCCAGTAAATGGCTTTGATCGTACATAATGATTTTGTCAGCATTCGTATATAAATTGGTGGCCTTCATGAAAAGCTCGCGCTTCTTATCCTTGGACTTCTCTCTATATGCTTCCTGTACATAATGGGCGGCCAGCATATCATAGGCGCGCATTTGATCCGTTTTATAGTCACGATAGTCAGTGGTGCCCTTATCACGAGCTGCTTCCAGCAGCATAATGAAGTCATCCGTCTTCTTCTGCTTGTAGTATGCCAACTGTGGAACAGGTATAATCCTGGTAAGTCCCCTATACTAGCCTAGTTATATAAATTATTATCACATACCGCCACATTGACCCAGACGTGCAAAGGAGCACGTTCCTGCAGCAATATGCTAAACACTTCAGAGCATTCGGGCAGTTGATCCGGGTCCACTTCGATGACCTGTAAGCATTTTTTTTTTGGTGCAAACACATTTACATTGGAAGCACAGCGTTTTAATCTTACCTCATCTGTGTCCTGCAGAGGAATTTCGATGCATGTGGACATGATTACAGTAGAAGTGGCTCGAGGGCCAAACAATTGGTGACTTTATAACGTTAAATTACACAAAAATTACGATTTATTTTTTTAAAGCGGTACGCTTGCTAAAAAAAAACATTGAGACCTTTCGATACTCTCTACGAAGCATCGATACGCGTCCGATATTTGACATGCATAAGAATCGAGTTATTTGACTCAGATATCGAGTGTGCCATCGATTAGTTTAAGCTGGCATTGTTTATGGATAGAATTATGTAGTAAAATTAACAAAATTTATTTAAAATTCAAGCCGATAATGTATTAGGCTATTGGTAAAAATGCAGCGTGCCATTCGGCGAGTGAGTTTGTGCCAACTGGTTGTTAGTGTGCGCCCTTCGACAATAAGGGCAGCTGTAGCGAAAAATTTCCACCATAAAGTACACAAACAAAGTCTAACAGATGTTCTGTGTCAATTACATAAGAGCTGTAATCGTTCAGCACTATTGGCGCAAAAATCAACATCGATTTTAGGTGACGAAAATCAGCTGTGCAGGCACGCATGCACGCACACACTCGCACGCCGAGACGTTAGCACAGGCCAGTCGAGCGCTGCGCAATATTCCAGATACTCAGCCAGCACAATCATGAATTCGTATTGCAAGGAATTGGATCTGATGGACTATGACATCATTGGGTTCGATCTGGATGGCACATTGTTGCGGTACAATCTACAGGAGATGACGCCGCTCATCTATAACGTGCTTAAGCAGTACCTGGTGGAAGTTAAAGGCTATTCACCAGCATTGCTGTCCAAGGACTTGGATATGGATTTTTTCCAGAAAGGTTTGATGCTCGATGGAGTTCGGGGTAATGTGCTGAAGCTGAGCAATGAAGCGACCATTATACGTGCATCGCATGGTACACGTCTGCTGAGCGATGACGAAATTGAGAGTATTTACGGTGCCGAACGACGCTGGGATGTGGCTACAGCCTTTTATAATAATCCCCTGTCCACCTGGAATGGTCCAGCATCTGAGCAGATGCGCACGCTTCTTGATTACTTTGATATGCCCAGCGCCCTGGTGTTTGCCCAAGCCGTAGATGTAGTAGACAATGAGAGCGGATCAAGTGGTAAACCCAATGAATACAAAGTTTGGGGGGATCTCCTAGAAGCCCTTATGCATAGCTATAGCCGCGATAACTTCAGTAATGATTCCAGTCTCTACTTTAAGGCTTTACGCGCAGAGCCACATCGCTATGTGCTGCCGAGCTGTACAAAACTGTTCACCTGGCTGAAAGAATTGAGACAAGCTGACAAAAAGCTCTTCTTGTTGACCGGCTCGAACATAGACTTTGCCGATTTAACAGCCACACAGGCGCTGGGTGCCAATTGGCGAGAATATTTTGATTTTATAGTCACCTATGCCAAGAAGCCGGGCTTTTTTACTCAGAAGCGAGCCTATTTGAACGTGGATGCTGTGGCAAAGCGTGAGCTACCAAACAGCGAACTAAGTCTGCAGGAGTATCTCCAGCCGGGCAATGTTTATGCGCAGGGCAATTGGCATCAGCTGCACCAGTCGATGGCAAGACTCTTGAACAAAGATTCGAGTAAAGCACGAGCTTTATATTTCGGAGACAACATCATACAGGATATCTATACGCCGGTTAAGCACAGTGGCTTTGATACGGTGGCCATTGCTGAGGAGCTGTTTTTAATGGAGGCCAAGGACTACCCCTTCAAGGCGGTGCTGAAGTCAAAATTTTGGGGCCCGTATTTTAACGACGGCCGGACACCTACTATATGGTCTGGCTTCATAGCGAACTATGCCCAGATTTGCATCTCTTCCATGGAACAGATGTGCCAGACGTCACCAACTCAACGGCTTGTGTGTAACAATGTCAACGGCTTCTATCCGATGGTGCCCAAATATCTCGAGTGCAGCAATCTGACGACGAGCTGGTGCGGTGGTTGCGTCTGATAAGACGTTTTCGACAAGACATGCTCAGAATACACAATTATCTCCGGACTGAGCTGTTGCGCAGTGCATCTAAATTGAACTTCTCGACGAAAGTCAGACATATAAATTATACTCGATAGCAAAATAAATAAATGTTCGGCGACCGAATAATTTAAGTACATATTCTATATATTGCATAACTCAAGCAGGCCTTCAAAATAGCTAAGATCATTTGTATTTTATAAAGTATTATACTCGTTAATACTAATAGTAGTTAGTAGTTATAAGCAACTTTGACGAATGTACAAAAAGCTTAAGTCCTAAGCAGCATGAGGTAAACGAATTAAATCGGTTGTTATTGAAGCGCTTTACAGATTTATACTATATAAGTATGTAAATGTCGTTCAGGCACAAGCTGTAATGCAAATAACATTTGGCAGGTGTGCTCGACACGTATAAAGCCTATTTTCTCTACAAATTTCTAGTTCAAATCTTTATAAATAGAAATATTAGTAAATTGAAAGAAATATATCAATAAAAATTAAATGTTTAACAACTAACAATATAATATCTTTTAAAGATCTCAATATATTTATTTGTGACCAACCGTAATACCGAAAAAAATGAAAATATATTATAAATACTCAACTGGAAACCGTACAGCAAAGGCAACAATGGAAACAATAATTAGGTGGAGCTCATTGACTAAATACAGCATAATTTAAAATATTCGCTCTACGGCCAGGGCAATGCCCATGCCACCACCAATGCACAGGGAGGCGATGCCACGTCGTCCGCCTGTTCGCTCTAGGGCATACAGCAAGGTCACTAAGACACGTGCGCCCGAGGCACCAATGGGATGGCCTAGCGCAATGGCGCCGCCATGCACATTAACTTTTTTCTCATCCAACTTGAGGCACTTCAGCACGGCTAGAGCCTGAGCAGCAAATGCCTCGTTCAGCTCGTACAGATCCACATCATCTCGAGTCCAGCCAATTTTTGTTAGCTACAAAAGCGAATATAAGCCTGGGATAAAAAAAAAACAGAATATGAATGCTTCGCTTACCAATGACTCTACCGCAGTCACTGGACCGAGGCCCATGACATTGGGCTCAATACCGCTCTGAGTCCAGCCCACAATTTTAGCAAGAGGCTTAAGACCACGTTTGTTAACCTCTTCGCCGGACATGAGCAGCACAGCTGCAGCTGAATCGTTGACACCCGATGCATTACCAGGCGTGACGGTGCCTCCCTCCTTGAAGGCGGGTCGCAGCTTTTGCAAGCCCTCCAAAGTGCTGCCCGGTTTGATGTATTCATCTTTGCTAAATATCTGTGTGCCCTTGCGATCCTTGATCTCAACAGGCACGATCTCAGCATCAAAATAGCCCTGCTTCTGGGCCTGCTCGGCGAGCAGCTGCGACTGCAATGCCTGAGCATCCTGAGCCTCGCGACTTATTTGGTACTTTTCCGCCAGGTTCTCAGCAGTGATACCCATATGTATTTGATCCATTGCATCGGTCAGGCCATCGTTCACCATGGTATCCAGCAGCATTCCAGAGCCCATTTTGATGCCCTGGCGTAGATGCATAACATGTGGAGCAAGGGACATACTCTCCTGGCCGCCGGCAATAACAATCTTAGCATCGCCCGAACGTATCGCCTGATAGCCCAGCACCACAGTTCTAGGAAAGCAAACAATATAGTGCCGCTTTCAAAAGATGAGTCAATCAATATACATACTTTAAACCCGATCCGCAAAGCACATTGATTCCATACGCGGGCACCTCAATAGGTAAACCTGCCTTGAGAGAGGCTTGGCGAGCGGGATTCTGGCCTTGGCCTGCAGTCAATGCCTGCAGGGAAGCACAAGCGAAATTTACATAACAAATTGAATCTAATTTGTATACGAACAAAACAAATTGATTTGCAAATTAGCAACAATTGAGAGGAACATGTAAAATACCTGACCCATAATAACTTCGTTCACTTGTGGCGCCTCGACATGGGCGCGCTTCAACACCTCCTTAATGACCACGCTGCCCAAATCGGAAGCCTTCAATTTAGAAAGTGTACCATTGAAGCTGCCTAAAAAAATGCAAATAAGAGAAAGTTTTCTCTAATTAAACACTACATCAAACTTGTGTGAAACTGCGCATTTTACCAATTGGCGTACGCGCTGCGGACACGATATATACGTCAGACATCGTTAGCTAATACAATTTACAAGTGTTTACGCTTAAAATGATAAATAAGCAACAAATATAGTGCCGGGCAGCAACCGAACGATGTTTACGTTGTGGGCGCGCTGAACCAAATGTGTCTCGCTTCGACCAGCGGCTGTTCACAATGATATTCGCCGAAGAATCACTTTTTCAACTTATCGATAGCCGATAAATCTTTGTTTTGTGTCTTTTTTAAATGACTTTTTATGATTTACCAGGCTAGAGGCATAACTTTGGGTACTTATGGATCCAATTTTAATAAATAAATTAATTATATAATCAATGACATCATTTATATGACACTTTATTGTATGATACATATAAAGTATTAATTTTATTTGTATTGTCCGAAGTATGAGTAGAGATTTGTGCGAATTATTATTTGTTTTTTGTGTGATGAGAACAATGAATTTCAACTAAGCAATGGAGTGTCACTATGCACTTTAGATAAGTGAAGTGATCGGCGTTGCCAGCTAAAATAAATAACATCGATAACAGTGATAGTTTCAATTAGTATGTCCCTAAAGGTATCGATGGGTTATTATATCGATACGGTATCTCAGTACACAGAAAATTATTTTATGCTGAAAAAACGCACAAAACGCGCATTGTAAACACATTAAGAACAAACGCGCCCAGACCGCGACTCCTGGACAGGTCGGCAGCTATATAACTTGTACAGATTGCAACTAAGTCGTAGTTTTAAGGAGCCGACACAAAGTTACAGCGTCAACAGCAGCCAACAGCAACAGCCCCAGCCCTCGCCCAACACCAACTACAGAAACAACAACAACAACCACCACCCTAACCAAGACAACAACAACATCTATAGCCGCACAATCACACAAAGCACCAGCAGTAGCAGCAGCAGCAGCAAACGCAACAAATAATATGCAGGCGATTAAGTGTGTCGTCGTGGGTGATGGTGCTGTGGGTAAAACATGCCTGCTCATCAGCTATACGACAAATGCATTTCCCGGAGAGTATATTCCCACCGTCTTCGACAATTACTCCGCCAATGTGATGGTCGATGCGAAGCCCATCAATTTGGGCTTGTGGGATACGGCAGGTCAGGAGGATTATGATCGTTTGCGGCCATTGTCGTATCCACAGACAGATGTCTTCCTCATTTGCTTCTCGCTGGTAAATCCAGCCTCGTTCGAGAATGTGCGAGCTAAGTGGTATCCAGAGGTGCGTCATCATTGCCCCAGCACGCCAATCATATTGGTGGGCACCAAACTGGATTTGCGCGACGACAAGAATACAATTGAGAAGCTGCGCGACAAGAAGCTAGCACCCATTACATACCCACAGGGTTTGGCCATGGCTAAGGAAATTGGAGCTGTTAAATATTTGGAATGTTCGGCACTGACGCAAAAGGGCCTAAAGACCGTCTTCGATGAGGCTATTCGATCGGTGCTCTGTCCCGTTCTGCAGCCCAAATCCAAGCGCAAATGCGCTCTACTCTAATTTTAAGACGCACACACACACACAAGCCACACCAATACACACACACACAAAGAACACCCACGAAGCATTGTATTTGTATTTGTCGTCAAGTCTATTTAATAACGTAATATTATTAACTAATAACAATTGTGTAAAATAAGCAGCAGGAGCAGCAGCACGTTGATTATAGCAGAAGAAGATGATGAAGGAGAACGAATCCAGTAATTGGAACTGGAGTCTACGTCAACCTGCCTCTATTTTCTGCTTTGTTAGAAAAACTTGCCCACACACACACACACACACACAAATTTGGGGAAAACCGAATTTTCTTACTAATTTTTGTTACTCGTCGTCCTTTTGTTTAAACTTTAAACTTTTTGTCCTGTTTCGTTTAAGTGTGTTTGTTCCATGTTTTCGCTTTTCTTTTCGATTTGAACTAATTTCAAACATGTGCATTAATTTGAACTAAAAGTTAATTAAAAATTAATGTTGTAAAACCAAAAAAAAATCAAAAAAAAAAAAAACAAAAAAAAAACTTAAAAGAAGGAAAATTGTATTAAAATACAGAGCTGAGAAAACGCGAAAAGCAAAAAGAGAATTCAAAGATGATGCAGCCAGTAAAACGTTCCGTTGCAATTACAAAATTTAACTTAGATGTTGATTGAAACTGAACGGAAACTAGTAGAAAGGCGAAGATTAGGCAGAATTGCAGCTAAAAACAAATACATATACATATAAAGAGGTAATGAAAATAAAGAACAGAAATAATGTATGAGATGCATTTCCTAAGTGGAGCACGATTTCCAAAAGAACAATTTTTAAATTGCTAAAAAAGATAAACATAAAATGGAACTACATACATATAAGATAAAGTCCTTCGTATACTATGTACATGTACTGATTTAAAATACACAAAACACAAAAAAAAATAAGAAAACCAGGATAACTGAAACTTTGAATACTTTGTATTTTAAATATTCGAAAACGAAAGCAAATCTAATTACATACATATACATAAATGTGTCAATGGAAATCAAATAAAGCATACAGAAAAAAAAAATTTCAATCGAGCTAAACTTGAGTAACCCTAATGGCAGATGTGACATATGCATATATATATATATATAAAGTATATATACACATGTGTATATATTTCGACCTCAACAGGTCTTTTTTGGTTTTCAATTTCAACGTCGACAAAATAGCTTATCACAGCGAAAAAAGATTGAAATATAAATTGGAAATCAAAAAAGAAACAAAATAATGGAATCAGCGTCCAGCTTTTGTTTTTGTCGGAATGTTCTCGCAGCTGGAAATTAATCGGGCACAGCGGCGCAACAACAAAAGCGTTTTATGTTTATGTTATACGAGGCGGACGCGTTCTACATATGGATGGAGTGCGAGTGTGTGTGTGTGTATGGCTGAGGCTGTGTGCGTGCGTGTGTGTGTGTATCTGTATCTGTGCACATGACGTGTCCATAAACAGAGAAATTATGAATGCGCGACCCCGCAATGGACCAATCTCTTCCATGACAGCGCTGACGTGTAGGTTTCTGGATGCATATCCATTAAGATCGTTATCAAATCAATTTGTATATTCAAATATGTATTCTTTTTTAAGTTAAGTCTGGTATAATGCACATGTAAAGTTGTGTCTTAACTATCTATATATATGTATTACAATTTATTTGGCATTTGAGTTGCGAGTTGTTCTTAATGGCTAGAGAGATTGACTGCATCTCAATCTTAGAATTCGTCATGGCGTGCCAGAGCCTCACCAAAGTCCGTGGCCTGGGAGCCCACGAATATGTCGTACTTGTCCAGCACTTCCTCTTTGGTCAGCTTCTGGTCCTGATCTGAATCGGACTCAAAGATCAGATGCTTAGCCTCTGTTTCGGCCGTATCATAATCATTGGGCACAATCCATTGGCGTATTTCCGTTTCAGTTAGATAACCATCGCCGTCTATATCGCGATGCTTGGAAAATGACTCGCGCTCGCTTAGTACCCATTCGGGCTCAACCTCATTGGGCCCCGACGGACGGTACATATCGCCAATGTATTCATCCACAGAGATTTTGCCATCCTTGTCCTTATCCAGATCCTCGGTGGTCTCTTGCAGTACTACATCACGCATGTTAGGATGTTCCTCGGGATGCAAAAATGCTGTGAACTCTTCGCGCGTCAACTTATCGTCTAGATCCTTATCGGCCACAGCCCAGCGACGACGATCGCGAGACAACATTTTCTTATAGGAGATGCCTGCCAAATTCATGTACATTGATTTATAAGTATTTTTAGAATTTACCGGTGCTTACCATTCTCCTCTTTTTCCAACTCCTCCTTGTCCAGCGCATCCATAAAACCATAGACAGTTTTACGATATACCTCCCAGTCAATAGCTGACTCGTTGTTCGGATTGTGTTGACGCCATACCCGATCCACATCCTCGTCAATGTAGCGACGCTGCGTGTATTGGATCCAGGCTTTAAGTTCAGCCATGTCAATAAAATTATCCTTGTTTTCATCGATGCGGTCCACAATCAAGCCAAGACGTCGCTTGCTCTCCTCCGGTGTGAGGTCATCGAACTTTTTGGCTTCATCGGCGCCCAGAAAGGCTTCGTGGTCGAACTGCGTATTGTGTTCGCCGCCATCGAAGTGTCTGCCATGCAGTGAGTCGTGTTCGAGTGGGTCGTGCGGAAGCTCATCGGCAGCCGGTATGCTAGACGCACCGGCCAAGCTTATCGCAGCAGCAGCAACAAGTAGAAACGTTCCAGTTCTCATTTTGCTCCCCAGACTGCCGTCCGTTCACTTTGAGTATTCAAACGAAAGTAACTCGAGTTGGAATGAATTCAACAAACGACGCCTAAAGTATCGATGATAATTAGCGATAGTTTCTGTTAAGTCCATCCATCGATATGTATCGATAAAATGCAGTAAGAATCGCTATTGTAACGTATTTTCGTCAATTGTTTATTATATATCCTAAAAATATCGCTATTATCAATATAAATAAATAATAGCAGTTGTGCTATTTATAGATGGCCACGAGCGTAGAGTATATTTATTTGTTGCTCTGAACTAGCGGAACAGGATCGTTAACATCTTGATTGAGGGAACTAAAGTCGCCAGTGTTACAGGAAATGCTTGGAATCTCAAAATTTGAGAAGCCGCGATAGTTGGCCACCTCTGGTTTCAGGGGGGACGGCAAGAGTACCTCTGATACTGGCACATCACTGTCTATTAAACTATCGGCCGTGGTGTCCAATAAGGTTGTCTCAGCTGGGGTATTCCGCTCCTGCACCAGCGGATCAAATTCATCTAGATTCAACTTGGACTCATCTGCGACGCTGTTCTCGCCGCTCTGATCAGATAAATCGAAATCGTAGTTGATATTCGTTAGGCCTCCATGAAATTCTGTGCCCAACATCAACACGTCGTCATTTTCAGATGATTCCTCCAGCAGCGAGACTGCGTCGAAGGGTGTATAACTAAATATGGGCGAAGCAAACAGCTGATCTGGTTGCGGTAAATTCGGATGTAAAGGCGACAGACGTCCCACGGAGCCCACGCTAGTATCCTTAAGGGCCAATGTATGCGCGACTTCCAATTGAGAATCCTCGAGTATCTGTTCCTTTCCTTTAACTGTCATTGTTTGCGGACTTAGACTGAGTAAATTAGACTGATAGTGACCAGCAGCGGCTTCAACGCCATCCTGGGCTAAATGAGCACGCGCCTGGCTAATGAGAAACGGTGGCGTTTTAATGGGCAGCAGTGTAAGCGGTGCCTTGGCCATGACTGTATCCACCTTTTCCGTCACCTCACGCTGGAACTCTATAAGCTCGCGCTGAAAATCCTTAATGCCTGTGCTTATAACAGAGTTCCGTTTCTGTAATTGCTCCATGCACTTCATATTCTCCGAGATTAGATGCAGACTCTCACAGGCCAGCAGCGCACTCTCCCACGGTGTACTGTAAGTCTGTTCGCCCGACATATATGCATCAAACTCCTCGGCGCTGATGCCTAGGCTCTCACCATTTAGATTCTCAATGAAAGCAATGGCTGAACAGAGATTGGTAAAATAATAGCCACCCTCGCCGCTCATGACGCGCGAGGCGTTGGTGAAACGATTGACAAAGTTGAGATTGCTATGCAGACGGACGGGATTCGCTTTCAGCACCACAAAAATTAGAGCCGGCAAGAAGTCATCGGCACTAGCTGGTCCGCCCGTGGCACGTTTTAATAACTCAAATATGTGACGACAGCAGCGGACAGTGCACAGGAGCTTCTCCTGCGGCGAGTAATACGAGTCGATTCCCACCAGTTCCGATATGGCATTGTAGACCAGGTCACGTGCCTCTGCATTCACTTCGTCAATACTGCAGTCCAGATGTTTGGTCGTTATCCAACTTAATTGACGTATGCGCTTTTGCACTTTGATATCGCTTTCTTCGTCTGTGGTGAAGTACGGACTAAATAGCAAACTAAAACAAAAGAAAAGATAAGTTGAAAATTGGTTGAAGTTTTCAATGTTCTCTTATTTAATGACTCACTTGTGATTCTGTGTCATTACAACTTTTTCAAAAAAGTCAATGGCAATATCTCGATCCTCGTTGGTAGCAATCTCAAAGCGTGCATCGTTGTGCACAACATCCGCGAATCTGGTGTAGGCGTTTTGCACGAGATCGGAGAGCTCGTCTACGTTCTTGCTGCTGTTGTTGTTCATGTATTTTCGTATCTCATGATCCAGCCGCTGAATTTCGGATTTTAGCTTCCGTTTGCCATCGTCCGGGATCCGCAGTTGCCGCAGCTGCAACATAAATTGGCTCTCGGTGGCACTTGGCACACGGGGCTGTGGTGCAATAGCTGGGAATTTGTTTTTCAGCGTCTTTTGTAGCACTGCCGGAACAGTGAACTTTTTTCTGGGCATTGTGCTGGATGCTGCTGGCGTCTCCTCTTTCTCTGGTTGCTTCTTTGTTTTATTTGCCCGACCCAGTGAGAGCGAATGCTGCGGCGATTTGCGCTCTAAAGTTCCGCCAGCGGAACTGGCATTCACTTTTAATGTTTCATGATCCTCGCCAGCTTTTTCTGAAATTAGGGGAATAACGCGCATGACTAACTGCCACAGCATAGATAAACAGTAGCTTGCTTACGCCTTTTGCGCTGCTTATCGTTGCGCTCGCGAAAACATTTCGAGCAGAGTCCATCGAACTGTGTGTTGCCGTAGAAGCCACAGCCCTGTCGACACTTTAGATCTTGCTGCCCGATTCTCAGCATGGGCGCGCGGTTCGCCATCGTTGGGCGTGTTTTTTGATTGCTATGAAGTACTATGAAGTATTTGCAATAACTGTGCGACTCAATTTTAACTCAAATTTTTATTTACTGTCGGATCAGCCACTCAATTGCAGATAAACAGCTGTTACATGGATTATCGCCATAACTTATCGATGTTATAAATTAAACTTTACGATGTTTCGATTTAATACCAAAATTATTTTCATCGATAGGTGTGCCTATCGAACGGTTTGGCGGTATTTTGAACTGTTATGTTTTGAATTCTACTCTCACTTATCTTGATCACGTTTAAAACAAACAATTCAGGAAAGTAGAATTTTACTAAAATTGTATTTTAGTTTTATTTATTGAAATAAAAAACATTTAAATTGCAACTGAGGGCACAATTTCTTTGGATACATTGAGTAAAATCGAAGTGCCTTAGGAAACAGCTCACAAAAGTCTTAAATTCTATGCATAAAACATGTATTTAAAATGAAATTTTGTGTTGTAAGCTTTAGATTTAGGACGGTTACACATAGAGAATGCAACTTCTGGTATGTATACAGCTAAATGGGTAGATTTCAAAAAGTTATACATGAAAAGTCAAAGTTGGTAATTAGCTAAAAATGTTCACAACAACGATTTGAAAAAGCTCAGAAAACACACATAACTATGTATGTAAATATGTAGACAACATATCGACTACGACTAGACTACAAAATTTTCAAGTTGACCTAACTGCTCTACATGTCGATTCACTTACTAACATGCTTTTGTTGTTCCCAATTAACAAATTCATATTTGCGCAAACGAAAAATTTACTTGCAAGACGCTTCCATGCGTTCCTCGAATATCCCAGCTTAATTGACGCGCTCCACAAATGCATTAATTCCACTACTCAACTCTAAAACGGTCTATTATCGCTACTCTAATTCCTCGCTACCATAGTTGCCTTTGCATTTTAGCAGTACAAAGATTTGGAAAAAACCACTTGTTCTTGTGTTTCAATTAGTCTCACAATTGCTAATACATATTTATCGAAATGCAACCTTGTATTCGTGTGCTCAGCTACCGTTAGTTACGTATACTTATCATGATCTTTTCTCATTTTCCTACTGTTCCAATTCAATCGTTTCATAAAGTCTCGTAAATAGTTTTAACTTAGATCTAAGCTACTTATGATGGATGTCTTTGGCTTTCGTTTTTGTTTTTTTGTTTTTTTTCTTCTTCAAGTTTTGAACTCTATTAGCTATAAAAAATTGTAATTTATCGATAACACGTTTTAAACAGTTACGCCGCTTTGGTTATAGTTTTTTGATTAAACGTTTTCATTTTGCATTCATTTTGATTAATTGAGTCAACTTTTGACAATTCTCTACAAAAGATTTGCGTTTTGGTACAAAAATTTCAAGTCTAACAATTTGTTTCAATAAATTCCTTGGTCCAACTGAATTGCAGTCGGAATTCTGTTGGCTGAAGAAACTTGAGTTTCTGCTTGTGGATTATTAAGTATAGTCAAACAGTGTGTGTGTGTGTGTGTATGTGTGTGTGACTGTCTGTGTCATGTACACTGCGTGTGTTACGAACTCAAATAGATTCTTGTGTTACACATTAAATAACATTAAAATATGAGTACTTTAGTTACTAGAACTTAGGTCTACTAAACGCTTCATAGAGCTCTCTATATCAAATTGGCTGTTTAAAAAGTCAGCAAAAGTTTCAACTAGTCCAGGGATCTATGCTTAGCCACGTTAACTGAAGTACTTCAGGCCCGCGATCAGCATAAATTTCTCAATGAACAGCTCCGAGTCCAGCACCTAATGGGTTGATAAGCAAAATTGTTATTAGATATAGAAAAGATATATATATATATATATATATATATATTAAGCTTTTGTCCATTAGATCTTACCGCAATATGAGCAGCTCTTCCAATCAGCGTGTTGGCCGTATGGGGCAGTGCATGATGCACGTCGAAGCGTGCCAGCGTTAGCTCCGGCCTGGCCAAAATGGGTGCAATGACATTGTGAACCATTTCCCTGGAAGGCAAATGATAATACGTTTCGGAACTAGACTTCATTTAGGCTAACCCACCTGTAGATGGTGCCCAAGGAGGAGCTATCGCGCATGGCTGCCTTGCATAGCTCCAGGCGTGCCGAGTGCGCGGGCACATAGCGATCCTGGCTGGAGCCGCAGAGCAATATGTTGCTAAAGTGATGCAAAGTGCTGCGCTGGCTGAGTCTGTAGAGGAAGCTGTTGCGCATATCCGTGGTGTCGCGCATGCACAGCTGCAGCAGTGAGCCAGACTTCTTCCACTTCTGCATGAACCACATGCCTGAGGGGAATGCCATTAGTTAGTGCCTTGCCGGCTAAGCTGCGTCCACTTACCCATGTTGACCAGTCCGCTGGTGTTGTAGAGCGTGCCCAGATGCGGCCCGGAGAGCGAGAGGAACGTGTGCAGGCGCGGCAGCAGCGGACGCATCTGTGGACGTGCCAGGGCGCTGCGCACGATGATGGTGCCCAGCGAATGGGCCACAAAGGAGATGCGTGCGGGATTCAAGCCGCAGCTGTCGATATGGTAAAGGATCTCGGCAACCAGCCTGATTGGCGAGAACACAATCAGCTTCCATTATCAACAGTTAAGTATGGAGACTTACCGATCAGTCATGGTATCGAAGTCGGAGAAGGTGTCGCCCTGATTGCGCTCCGACATTAGAAACTCAAGATTCACGCCGGGCAGACCCAGTTCCAGATAGGTGCGCACCAGCCGCAGGTCCGCCGAGTTGCCATCCAGGCCGTGCACACAGATGACCAGGTGCATGCCATTGGGCGAGAAGGCGCGATACTCGTCACTGATATAGAAATAGGGCAGCTCCGAGGCCAACTGCACGTAGTCCGAGTAGATGTTGCCCTGGTATTTGATTTGTTTGCGAAACTCTTCGCGGCACTTCTCGAACTCCAGCAGCGAGATGCTGGGACTGGCCTCCTGTCCAGCCGGCTGACCCTTGCGCTTGTGTTTGCTAATCGAACCATTCGACTGCTTGCCACGCCCCAGCACTTGGCCGTTGGCATTCTCTTTGTTCTCGTCCTGCTCCGTGTCCAAGCCATTCTCTTGCTTGCATTGATGCTGCGGAGGACGCTTCAGCTCCGCCAGGCTGTGCGACTTGAGCACCGGCTTGTTGCTAAAGATCGCTGGCGTGGACATGGGACGCAGTGACTCGTAGATGTGGTACACGGGATTGTCAATGGCGCCTATGGGCTGCCGTTCCTTGAGCGGCGGCGGTGGTGGTGGTGCCAGCACCACATGGCAGGGCACGGACTTATTCTTGGACTTGGTTACAGCTGCTACAGCTGGCAGGGCAGCTGGCAAGGGCATTGGAATTGAGGCTGTGGCTGGTGCGGCTGCTGGAGCAGGTGCTGGTTCGGGTGGTGGATCGCGAAACTCGTCGGGCGGTGGTGGTGCCAGCACCTGGTCCTGGTCTTGGTCCTGATCCTGGAACTGTTGTGGTGGCGGCAAGCAAACGGCGTCCAGCGGCTGCATATCCTTCAAGCTGGTTATATCAAAGTCCGACTTGGACTTTTCGCATCGGGCAGCGGCGCCGCCCTTATGACGGCGTCTCGGTGGCGGACGCTCCAAGTCCTCCACCTCGGTGGATTCGCCATTGGGCAGATGACGCAGACGATCCAGTTGAAAGCGTGAACGCTCCTTCTTTATGGTCACGGTCACCGATGAGATCTTCTTGTGCAGCTCCTTCTCCTTCTCCTGCTGCTGCAGGCGAGCGGGCGTTCGGCTCTGACTATTCCCAGCCGATTGACGCTTTCGCTGTGGCTTGTGCGGCTGCTGCTGCTGCTGCTCGAGCAGCTTCTGCAGGCGCAGACGCAGCTGCTCGCCATTGAGCCGCGTCTCCAGGCCCATGCCCATGCCCAGGCTAAGCTGCGTGTGCCGCTGCTTCTGCTGCGGCCCGGTGCTGGTGATTGTGTCCGGACTGGAGATGGCCAACGAGCTGCGCCGGCTGCTCACCCAACCGCTCTCCTCGCTGAGCGACGAGGTCGAATTGCTGCGCTGCCGTCGCACATCCGAATCGAACTCCGGCGGCGGCGCCAGGTTGGGCAGCGACTCACTGAAGCCACTCGTATTGGGATCGCTGCTGTTCGTGTTGTTGTTGCTGTTGACCGTGGTCGTGGTCGTGGCATCGAGTCGAAAGGGCACACTGCTGGAGCTGAGCATCTGCAGCTTCTGCATCATATCGCTCTCCGAGCTGCTCGACTCCTTGCGCAGCGCGCCCTGCACTTGACCCTGGCGCAGCATCTCCTTGATATCCGACACACGGACGCGCGCTATCTCCACAGCTCGTGGTATTTGGGAGCTATTGCTCCTCGGCATGGTCGTGTACTGGCTGGGCGGGGGCGGCGGATAGGAGTTGCGTGGCGGCAACATGCTCTTGGGCAGCGAGTTGTAGGCGCCATTGCCGGCAGCTGGCTGCTTGGGCGGATTCAGCAGCTTGATCTCGTGCAAGTAGTCGAATTTGCTGGCATTGCCATAGCGTTGTCGGAACTCGCATATGTTGCGCATCAGATCGTCGGCTTGGAGGCGCGCCAGGCCGGCGGGCAGCGTGTTGTAGCTCACCTGGCGTCCATTGCAGCTGGGCTCGAGCACATGCGTCTCAGCTGCTGCAGTCTGGCAGCCGTCCAGCTGATCCAAGGACTTGCTGTGCCGCGTGGGCAACGCCGTCTCACTCGACTCGATGTCGAGATCTTCGAGCAGTCCCGTTACCGAATGTCTGGACAGATTGTGCCGCAGTGCCACGGGCTGCGCCTCCTTGTTGCTGGGCGCTATGGTCAAGGTGGCCTGCAGCACTTCGCCGCCCAGCGCAAAGCGTGGCGTGACCACGCACTTGGCATGCGGATGCGCTGGACCATTGCCATTGCTCGCCGGATAGTCGTAGTCGAAGTGACAGGCCAGGCAGTCCTTGGTGCCGTTCAGGCTGTTGCTCGAGTGCGTCTTATCGGACGCGAGAGTTTTCTTTTTGCTCGCCGCCGTTGTCTCATCCAGCTGGGGATCGCTGCCAGAGCGACGTCGCGCATAGCTGGCACCTGGCACCACATAGCGATCCTCGAAGATCAGCGGCAGCGAGGCGG